ACTGTGAGTCTGACAAGAGAACATCAACACATCTTAGCCGATAAACACAGTGGAGTATTTAGCAGCTGAAGAGCAACATATTTTCCTCAGTAGTTAGTGGAGACGGAAAGCAGTGCTAAAGAAGAGGGAATATTGACTTATATTTCTCAGGTGACCAGAAACATGACTCCATATGAATGTTAATGCTAACTCATGCTAACGCTGCCCCCAACTGTTCCAAAACCCCCAATTATTTCATACCACGCTGTAAAATCATGTAGTCCACCAATTTGGTTTGGATTGAATTATCTCATTGGATGTATTACCTTGACATTTTGTAAAGAAATTCGTGGTTCACAGAGGGTGAATTCTGCTAACTTTGGTGATCCCCTGACTTTTCCTTTAGCACCACCATGAGGTTGATATTTCAACTAAAGGATGAACTTTGGTGATCAATAAAACGTTTTGTGTATGTCCCTCATAAGATAAAAAGAAATACTAAGAATTTGCCTCTTAACATGCTCCTAATACAGTAAGATGATCATATGTTTTGTACATCAAAACAAAGGATAGTTTATTGTTATTATAACTACAGCTGCTCCTGGTCCTCCATGTTTTGGAGTAGAAGTATATAATAGCAGAAACTGAAAGTGAGTGTACAACAGTTCGGTACTTTCCAACCCTTCTCTACACAATGAATTGTATATCTACACCGAGAACCAAATGTTCCCACGTTACTGTAATGACATGTTGTGTTTCATCCTCAATCAATTAACTATGAACAGACAAGCCTCAGCTAGCGGGGTCATCGCATCCGGACCCAATCACCGTCACGGAGGGAAAGCCTCTACAACTGAACTGCTCCACCGTTGGAAACCCCAGCCCCTCGTACACCTGGACGCTGCCGTCAGAAAGCACTTCGACCTCCAATAGCAGCAATATCACGATCAACTCTGCAACTCTTGCGGATGAGGGGAAGTACATCTGCTCTGTCAGCAACAGCGTGGGGACTGTCACTGTGGTGTTCAACGTGGATGTTCAAGGTGAGTTTTACTGTCCGCTCTTCAGAGGTTATGACTGTTACTGTAAAGTGAGCGCAGCAGCCACAGTGTTGCTTTCGCTGGAGCTTTCTCACAGCAGACGAGAAGTGATTCTCACCCGTGACCTAAGGATGGAAGGAAGTTCATTGTCACTCTTTTGGTATTTGGTGTTGATCTGACGTGGAGTATTCTCTGCTCCTTTTTTTCTTCACCCCTCACAGAACTTCCTGCAACAAACTACAGGGGAATCATAATAGGCTTGATAGTTGGTGTTGTGGTCGTCATCTTGGGCCTAGTTGGATACTCCTATTGCTACAAACACCATCGAATGGGAGAGTACAACCTGAAGGACGTTTTCCGTCCGCACAGGTGGCACGCTGCCGTGCCCACTGCAGAGTAAGCCTGCGGGAAGGCATGAAAATGTGTATGGATCTAATGACATAAAATGCCCCAAATGATTTTAAAAAAAACAGCGTTTAAGTCAAGTTTCAACTTGTGTAACCTTGAATGGAACAAGTCACAAGCTTCCTTAAGAACTATTTTTCAGGACTGCTGTTGAAAAGTATAGCTGGCTTGCTAACTCCGGCATATTTCCAGAAATGTTGATTCATGTGTGTTGTCCTAAAACACACACTCAAAAGTATGTGAATATAATATTTCACAGTTGCCATAAGCAAGTTGTCGGACCAGTCCCTGCTGTAGTTTTATGCAGAATTATAGTTTATTGATTATGGATGTAGACTGCTGGCAGAGAATTTTTTGTTCTAAAAGTGTACAGATTTACTGTTTAGTTTTAAGATATCAATATCTATTAATAATAATAATATAAATAAAGTTATTATCATTATTATTATTATTATTATTATTATTAAATGAACACAGGCTATTGTGTAAATTGATTAATGCGAGACTCAAAAGTTAAAGTAGCAAATAAACAAGTTATATATAAAATAAAATAAATTTGAACAATGAAACTGAATTTTAACTAGTTATATTTTTTGGTGCTTATGTGGCCGCCTGAGGCTGAAACATCCCATGCAGCTGTTGAACATGCTGTTTTACTGTTTCTCTCTGTTGTATACCGGCTGTGTTACTGCAAAATACTTCATAACTTTATGTAGAGATGTGTTGTAAATAGAATATAATTGTGTGAAAACACGTACACTGAACTTCAAGGCTTTGTGTTAAACCACTGAAAGCTTGTGCCTGACCTCTTCACAACCCACAGCGCAACAGTTTCCGTTTGAATGTGTTTGGTGCATGTGTGTGTGCATGTGTGTGTGCTGTGTTGTGACACTGAAAAAAAGAGGAATTAATTTGAGCAAAAACTGTACAGTAATGAACTGCACACTGGAATATGCTTTGACCACCTTTATTTTAGAAATTATAAATAAACGATCACTTTGTACAATGAGATGCATCCCAGTCTCTTCTATTATTATTTTACTGTATTTCTAAAGTAGTTGCAAATATATGGAGACAGTGTTAAAACACCACAATATTGATGCACCATTATATTAAATATTAAACGTTTTATTTCCTTATTTTGTCATGGGCCTTACATTCCAGTGATCCAATGGAAGAATCTGAAATTGCCTCAGTTTAAAATGGAGTGATGGAAGTGGAAGACGTAATTATAGATTTCCTGTTTGTGAAATCCTTCATCGCTAGCTGGACTCTTGACGCTTTTTGATCTCTGGGGCTTTTACGGGGAACTCCGCTGCAGAGATCATGTTTAGGGTGAAGTGAGTAAACGCATCCCATGTTACACCCTTACTCTTTTCCTTGCCTCCATTACTACCTCTCCTCTCCTACCAGGAAGAAACTTGGAGGAGATGAAAAGAGGAAAAAGGAGGACATGAGAAAACTTTGATTATAGATAAACTTTTGAAAAAAAAAAAACTCCACAATGTTATCTGCACTATTATCCAACTAGTGTTCATGTTGGCTACACAGTATGTCTAGCTAAGCATTTGTGGTTTTCTCATTGCAGGGAATACATTTCCCTGATTGGCCTAAATATTTTTTTATTAACATGAGACTGGAAACAGGTCCATCCATCCTAGTGTACAGTAATGTAGAACAACCGTACAACTGAAACGGAATGACAGCCTACATTATTTTGCAAGCTATCACTGAATATTGTGGCCCTAGTTCATGGTGTTATCACCAGCTCAGAAAACACTTCCAGAGGAAACACCTAGGCATCCTGGAACTCTTGTCCAGCTCTTGCTTCAGTGTTTATGGTGGCAAATGAAAACACATTTAAAAACATGTGATTTGTCATACCCTTGTTACTCATAACACTCATATTAAAAATCTCCCTGGAAGCTCCTCAACACACAGGCGACTGGATGTAGAAAGTGAAACAATGGGCAAATAAACTTTGGCAGTGACATCATAACAAGGTGACTAAAAATCCATTAAAAAAACTGAATATAAAGTATTATTCACCATCCATTAACCTGTTGTGTTTTTTGGAGAATACTTTTAATACATTTTAATTTCTTAAAGATATCACCCTAAATGTTCTTCTACATTCTCCAGATTTTAAGACATTAACTGCCCAAGATTAAAAAAGAAAAATAAAGTGTTGAATGATATAAATATATAAATAACATTATCTTTTAAAAAAAAATCAGTTTTAAGGAAACTATGTCAGAAAACAGACAAACAAGAAGACATTTTACACACGAAAAACCTGACTTACACATTGTGAAATGTGTGTTTATACTAGATGTTGTAAATGTTACAAGATGTAAAATAATGATACATTTTGTCCAGTATCCATCTGTTTAATGTGTTTATGCTATACTTCTATTACATTTCTGATGTAAATATTGTAAGTTTACTTTTTACCCCACTACATTTATTTTACACTTATAGTTACTAGTTAATTTTTACATATTTTACATATAAATAAACGTATGATATGCTTATTATATTAAATAATGCAGTACATACATACATAGCCTACTATGTTATAATCCCAGTGGAAGACCCATAGACTGTATAAAAGAAGTAAGCCTATACAAAGTATCTAAAACATTGACTAAGTACTTCCTCCATCACCAGCAGAGACCTCCACTACTATCATATTATTAATTAATGTGTCACAATTACAATTAGTTTGTGTGTTTAGGCCATTTAAAAATAAACCAAGCCCGCGCTTGTTGATGACGTGTTTAATTGGATTCCTGTAAACGCCGTGTGGCTTGCTGCCCGTCTCGCTAAGAGGATTGGGAAACGATCAATCTCCGTCTTGTTTCCTGCCGCCTTGTCGGTGCATTGTCCTGCAGCTGAACATCTCTGCTGTTTCCCCTTTTTACTGAAACTGAAAAACGCGGAGGAGAAAAGAGAAAAGAGGGACAGAAGGAGCCGCAAAGATGAGCACCGGAGCGGGCATCGATTACAGCGTCTGGGATCACATCTATGTGTCCGACGATGAAGATGTGACCAATCCGTACGTGGACTCACCGAGCTTGTTCAGAATGAGACACCGGGTCAGCGGTAGTGAAGTGGTAGCCGTGCAGTTCGGAGTCTTGTACCTGTTTTAGTTTTACCAGTAGAAGTGACTTACAGTGGTTTGCAGAAAGATGAAAAGAAAGTGCTGACGTACTATCAGCATGGTCCAATAGTCACTATTAGTTTGCTGTCACAACTAAAAGAAATTGTCACAATATCTATTTTGCTTCTTTCAAGAGAAATTAATCAGACACTCAGCCAAGCTAATATCATTTGATTTTAAATAGATATTTTATTGTTATGTCATACACGTCGGCTGAACAAGAAAATGCTGCGAAGAATTGCCAAAGTTATGTTTTAAGGTTAATTCTTGGTAATAATAATAATAATAATAATAAGTTACGGTCCACTTACTCTCCAGAACTTACAACCATATTGCATTGCCTGTGTCTTAACTAGCCCTTTCCACAGCTTTCCATTGCATCTACAGGACGTAATTATCCATAAATCTTTATCCACTGATGAAGATATGAGATGCACTTGAAAGCTCCGGATAAAGCCAATAAGAGGACCTTGAGTTAAGATTATTTTGCCAAACTGTTCTGTGTCACCGTCAGTTTGTCGGTCAGACAGCACTGACGAGTTTATTCTTCAACAGTAAAATCGTATTTCATTTTAATAAGAAAGTAAATATTGCCTGAATTAAAATTGTGTCCGATTTTTGGGTCCCAATCCAACTGCGCTGACATTAAATAATGAGGCATAAAATCACAGGTTGCTTGATACTAAATGCATATATTGTGGAGCTAGTGTGGCTGCTTAATGCATTGGTGAAGCTCAGTTTGTATGGCTCTGGTTCTGAGTAAATAATGAGCTTAGCCGGCACCGAGCTGTCACGTGACTAGTTAAGTGAAATGACTTGTGGTCTCCAGCATCCCCCCTGGTTTCCCTGGTCTATTTTCATTCCAGTATTTCTTAAATCTGTGGAGAATCACAGCTCGCTCATATGTAGGGAAACTCACAATAAAATCTCTGGCTGATATGTTTGACATGTTAAACCCTTTGAACCTCAAATTTGGCCTTGCGTGTGTTTTTTTTAGTTAAGATGACAAAAATGAGGTTCAACAAGTCATTCTGATTCACGCCCTCAACGTGTTTCATTGTCCAGCAACAGGCATGTAGGTCATCTGTGTCATATGTTTCTGTGTCATGTTTCTTTTTTTATTTGCTCTCATCCACTCTGGGCTGCCACAACAGGCCCGGCTGGAGAGACTGGCTGAGTTTCAGCAGAGAGGGGAAGATCTGGAGTGCAACGTATTGGAATGCAAGAGGCAGTTAGAGGAAGCCCAGGGACGACTTAGAGAGCTGGAGGAAGGACGGAGAGAGGGAGAGGAGGACGAGGACAGAGAGGCTGAGCTGAAGAAAGTCCAGGACGAGGTGAAAAAACTGAAAAAGGATGAAAAGTCGTTTGAGAAAATGATGAAAGAACACCGGCGAGAAGGAAAGAAACTGCCCTGGGATGTTGATAGTATCAGCAAAGAAGGTTTCAGCAAGGTGAGGCATGGCATCAGGGTCGCAAGATTTAGTGGGGAGTCGCTGTAGCCGGGTTTATCTGTTGTCTTTATCTCGCTTTCTAGAGTGTGCTCAACATAAAGCCTGTAACAAAGGAGGCAACGGAGGAGGAAAAGGCGGAGAAGCACAAGACCTTTGCGGAGAAGTACGCAAAGGAAATCAAACACTTTGGTATGCTTTTATTCTTGACGTGATTGTGTGCATTTGTTGTCTTTGCCTTCCTGCTGCCTCACACTGGCCCTTTCTTTCAAATGTGACCTTTCATGTTGTTGTTTTAACCCGCTCTTATTGTATTCTCTAGCCCCAACAAAGACGTTTCAGTCTATGAAGAATCTGTGTCAATTGGAACAAATAACAAAGTCACAAAGTCACAAAAAAATATTTTGTTCATTTTCTTTGGCCATTCCAGTCATTTAATTGTTCGTTCTATGTGTTTAATACATCATTGTATTCAGCTCTTTGTTAGTGTGCATGAATTACATATTGCTTTTTATGTTGCATTGTGGGATACTTCAATATTTATCTTTATTTTAAGTACAGAGTAACATTGGCAGTTGCAGAAGCAGAGCCCGATGTACTGTACACGTGTAGCCGAAGCTACTGTTCACCACCAGTCCCTTGATGGGTGTTGATAGTTAAAGTAATCTTTAAATTTACATGTAACAGTTTAAAATCCTTAAGTCAGCGCATGTAGTTTATGGGAAACACAATAGTCAACACCGAACAATTATGGACACAAGGACAAATGTAAAAATAGGTGGAAACCTTATGGTTAAACACGTTTATTGTATATTTATGTGGCGTGTAGTGTTTACTGTATTTATGACTTGGTAAGTCGTCAGTCAACAAAGCTGCTAATTGATAAGCTTGAATGTAGCCCTATGCTGGACTTGTTTGTCTGTGCACCAGGTATGACGCGGCGCTGGGAGGACAGTCAGAAGTATCTCTCAGACAACCCACATCTGGTGTGCGAAGAGACGGCTAATTGCCTGGTCGTCATCTGTATTGACTTTGAGATAGATGAGGTGAGTGCTGTGAGAATAGTGTGTATGCATGTTAAAAAAAAACAACAACATCAGCTCTAAATCCTTGTAACTTCTCCGTGCACTTGTAGAAACATGCTCTGATGGAGCAGGTTGCCCACCAGGCCATCGTCATGCAGTTCATCTTGGATTTGGCTCGGACGCTTAAGGTCGACGCAAGAGGCTGCTTCAGACAATTCTTTTCAAAGATCAAGGTCTGTAGTCAGCCGAACATCTGTGTGTAGTCTTTTTCCACAGGAAAAGGTGTTTTTTTTGGGGTGTATTTGGCCAATTAAGTGTTTTTCGGGTCCACGTCAGACTGCAGACGAGCCGTACCAAGACGCGTTCGACCACGAGCTGGAGCTGCTGAAGGAGCGGATCCGCAACTGTGCGCAGATTCGTAAGGAGAGCGCTATGAAGGAGCTAGAGGAAGAAGACAGGCAGGAGAGACTCGGCCCGGGAGGTTTGGACCCCGTACAGGTCTATAAATCCCTACCAAAGGTAAACCATTCACACACACACACATGTAAGCATAAGCAAAGCTCTGGTTATTTCAGGGAGACGTTCCTCTATGAATGTATGTCAGTGATACATGATATAACCTTGCACTTCAACTAATAGAGTGGTTGCTTGGTCGCTCTACATCCCTCGAGGCTGTGAGAGAAAACATCAGGCCTGTCCGAGCGTCTCCCATTTTACCCAGTTTACATACCACATCAATGACCACCATGTTTTGCTGCAGCGGCTCAAGTTGCAAGCTTGAAAAGTCAATACTGCAGATCAGTTGACCCCCATACAGGCTAGCATTAGCCACATGGCTACAGGTTATTGTGTTGTTCATTTAAAAAAGCATTAGAGAAACTTTAAAAGTTGCCCTCGTTTACAGGATTGTTTAATAAGTGCACATGGAGCAAAGATATGTAGTTTATACTAAGCAGCAGAAGGAAGATGTTCATGTCATTTTCTACATTTTCTTTATTTTTCTTTACATCCCTTTTGAGAAGATGTGTGTTTCAGAGTTCTCTTCCTCTTAATGGCGCCTGACATGAGCTAATTAAAAACATCTGTCTACTTCGACAGTTATGTAGTCGGTGCGAGCGACTACATTTTTTCCATAGATTTCAAAAAAACGTTGTTTGTAGACTTTGAAGTCAGTGTTTGCTCAGTCTATTGATATGAACTGCGTTGCCATTTGGATAATCGGAGGGTTCAATACACAGCTCAGCAGAATGGACTCCACCAGTCAGGCATGAGCTCTGTGTGTGCAAGGTAAAGAGCAGTGTTTACTTTACACATTACACATTGTTCAGCTTCTCCTTAGTGACTTACATTTTTCGTTAAGTACAATTGGATAAAAAAAAAAAAGAGTACTGAAACATGGATTTGATGTTTTGGATGACGGGTTTGCGTAAAAGTGATGATCTTCGAGCATTTTTCGACTAAAGTCACTCAGTTTTCAGTGCTGAGACATCAATCTGCTATCAGCACGGTATGTTTATTGGACCATTTTAGATATTTTCTGTTTCGTATTCTAGGAAATACAGAAGAGCTTTGATGAGAAGAACGTTCGGATGCTGCAGGAAGCTATCAACAAACTGGACCTGGACGTGAGTGTGTTTGTGAGCGTCGCCCTAAAATCCTATTTCCAGTCAATAAAAACAATCTAAAGAAGGACCAGAAGGTGTCTTTGATTGGCACAAAATATACCTGTTCATTTGATTTGTTCTGTGTGTTGAACTGGTGTCGCTCTGTTTCTCCCTCCAGGAGGGAAAATACCACCTAAAGAGGTGTATAGACTCTGGACTGTGGGTCCCTGATTCACTGGAGGGTGATGGTGATGAAGAGGAAGAAGCGGATGAGGATGAGGAATACGATTCATAAGAGAAGAGTGAACATTCTTTGTTAGTTGACAAAGTAATGCTCTATACATGCAACATAATATACACATATTTAATAAGCATATGGATAAAATGTAAGCACTCCATCATAGACACACTATTTACAAATCTAACAATCTGCCTCCGTCTGATGTCCTACTGAGGTCAACAGCGCCATCTCCAGTCTGTTTGAGGACAGAACGCACATAAACTACAGCGCAGGCCTGCATGATGTAGTCTCCTCACTTAACTTTTTGCGATTGACAACCAAATTAAATATAAAAATGTTTGATTTAATCAAAACCTCAGTTGGCCCTTGCAATGCATTCTGAATATTACAGTTGTGGCGCTTTGCTGGACAACATAACAAACATCGTAGAAAAGTTTACATGAATTTGAATTAGGTGAACTTGGATGAAGTTAGCTTTTTATTAAGACTGTCAATGGTGTTGGTTCAACTAGAAAGTGACGTCGACTCTGGCCTGGTCCTCTACAGACTTGATGTCCCAATATTACACGCTATCAAACACTATAACAACAACTAGTTTTTCCAATCCAAACCTCCCGAAAACTGCACTATACCTGTCGTAAATAATAAAATGTCTGTATTGTAGCACTTTATGACAGAAAGATAGCAAACAGAACCATAACCTTGGCATAGTCCACTTATATAATGCTGTACATACTATACAAAAACTGAGGTATAAACTTAAATAATATCAGAACGTATGTAATAATATAAATATGTGCTTAAACGGCTCTTCCACTTTTGCTGTTTTGAGTTTGTATTGTTGGTATGGTAGGACCTACAGCGAGGGAACTATCAGTTGATATTTGCTTATTGCAAATATACAGGTATACCTGGCGTATGTTCAGGTATATGCCAGCCGATACGTATCAAGGTATTGTTTTAGACCATTTATGTAGAAAAATAAACATCTCATATGTCATCATGTCGTTCTTGTCACTCTTAAATATCAATGCTGGTATCAACATCAAAAATCCATCACAGGTCGTAAACCTGTCGAGATTCTGTTCAATTGGATTTCATTGTAATCACAAAGCACAACATTGCTTTGCAAATGTAGACTTGATGACTTGTTTTATTAAGCTGGAGCAAGAGAATATTTGACATTTCTGCGTGAAAAATGACTGAAAGTGGAGGAAAAGATGTGAAGATGTTTTGAAGAGTCTGTCCAACTGAGTGCAAGTCCAAGTTAAATAGTTTGTGTCCATGTTTGTGATGTAAATTGTCACAATACCTAAAAGTTTGTGTGTCCTCCGTGTAATCAGATTTATTGTGTGTTTACGCGTGTAGTTCTGAGACTTTGTTTTTTAAATTTGTGTAGAACTTGTACAATAAACCAGGCTTCGTTTGAGTTGCTCACGAACTGTTAGTTCATTTGTTGACTTCTCCTCTGGTTGCTGTGAATCCTGACTCATATTCTGCCATCCTGCTCTCTCTCTCCTCCTCTTTCTCTCTCTCACTTGCATAATGAATTGCTCTGCCGCTCTCCCTCGCTCGCTCTCCCTCGTAATTAATCGCTGGGTTTGACTTAGTGGTCTGTGCAGGATTTTTTTGTTTTTTGTCGAGGCAAAGCTTCTTTGTGCAGTCACTTTTGTTAACAGAAAACAATCAGCGCAGGCCCGAGGCATAAATCAAATCTAGCTAATGCCTATATATGCCGAGACAGAACCACAATAGCTTCATGCGGAGCTGCTCGGGTGTGTTTCTTTGTATGTTTAGATCAATGTGTGGTTGTTGTTGTCGCAGTCAGGTTGTCTCGTGATGTGTAATTTGGCATTGAACAGGAACGAAGGAACAGGTTTCCTCTCTGAATGGTAACTGTGGCCATCTGATGCTGTTCTACTGACATTTTGTCGAGACAGCGTCCGTAAAGAAACAATTACTACTCAGTCGATGGACTGAAAAGCAATCTGCAACTATTTTGGTAATTTATTAATCGTTTTAAGCAATTTATTAAATCAAAAAATTATAAATATTCTCTTGCCCTAGCTCCTCAAACGAGAGGAATTGCTTCCTTTTAGGTTGGAACTGTTCAGGGGAAAAACAAGCAATTTGAATAATTCACCTTGGGCAATGGAAAGTAATGATTCTCATTTTCACCATTTTATGACACTTTATTTTCGCAATGAAGTGATTCCCTGCTTGGTCTGTAATCGGATGATTCATTGATAATAATACAAGCATTAGTTGCAGCCTTGTTTGTCATCAATGGAGTACATTTATTAGGGTGTTGCCTAAACACAAAAGCTTGTTGCTCTTTGCTCTGCAGCTTTGGGTACTAGCTCCGTGTCCATGAACACATTTATTCCATAATGTTCAAGATAAAAACAAAACATGTAAAATGGCACGTGCGGAGGGGAAAGAGAGAGTAGGATGCATGAATCCTTTATTGTGATTTTCCAATAAAAATCTGCTCTGTGCGGGAGGCTGTAATGGAGAGAAATGACGCCTGACTATTGAAGCAGACAATCGGCGTGTGTCATTGCGAGGGTACCAAAAAGGTAGGGGCACCGATGGTGAGAGGAGGAGCGGAGGATGTCGTATGGGATTAATGGACACACTGTGCAGGAGGAGGGAGGGGAGATGGGCTTCTCCACGGAGGCGCGCGGTGGTGGTGCTGGTGCTGGTGGTGGGGGGTGACTGGGGGAGACCACTGTGGCAGGGGAGAGGGAGAGGAGTGGCAGGGAGGGAGGACGCCGAGTGTTTTTTTTTCTCTCGCCGTGGTGGTGACACACTGCTAGTCTGCAGAGAGACGGAGGGAGCGGGGAAAGAGGGGGGGGAGGACAGACGGGTGAAAAGCAAGACGGGGCCCATCTTGCCATTGATCTTGAGGCGATCAAGGTGAGTGTGTTTTTATTCTTAAATGCTGCGGCTTGACTGTGTGTTTGCGCGCGCGCGCGCGTGTGTGCGTCCGTCTGACACATATCTTGCAGTGCGTGTGCAGACAGGCATGACGGCAGGGCTATCCTCATGTGTGCATGGTTTCGTTGTGTCTTTTATATATATAGATAGCCCTGCCGTATATATATATATATATATATATATATATATATATATGGGTGTTTTGTAACAGAATAGCAGGCTGGTAGTTGAGCTGCATATTGATGCATTGCTGCTTGGTTTTATAAGCTGCTTTATGGAGGTGGTACTGGTGGCAGCCATGGTGTGTGTGTGTGTGTGTGTGTGTGTGTGCGCGCTCAAATTTGTGCATATATATATGTCACTGTGTCACTGCATTTGTTGATTTCTCCACAAGCAGCCTTTTTTCCCCCTTCTTTCTTCTTCACAAGGTGAATCTGTGCAGACTGCTGGTGTGAGAGTGCTTTCATTGAGTGGGTGTGTTCTCCATGACCCCTGGTAAAAAGTCGTCTCCACCACTCTGTGTCTGTGTACCAGCTCGATCGGAAACACTGAATCTGTCCTATCCAATGGAATTAGGTCATCTCGGACTGCTTTGAGTAATTATATAACATCAGAGAACTCTGGTGTTGCAGTGTCTGCTCAGAATTAGCCACACTGTAGGTAGGGCTCCTGCAGCGCCACATTAGCCAACATGTGTCGCCAGGGCAGCCCGCCTTTATTATTCGACCAATCGTTTGTTTGGATATTAGTCAATAACTTGTGATTCGTTTTTTTTCCCTAGATGATCCTTGTATTATGGAAAACAATGGGCAGTCAAATCCAAATATACCTCCAAGCTTACTAAAAGAGTATGTTATGTATGGGGAAAGGATTTTCTCATATTTGATGATTCATCAGATAAATGAAAGCAGGACAGCGAAATCAAAGAGAGGGAAGATGGCTCAAAAACAGAGAGAATTAGCTTGCTCATTAACTCTTCATATCTGTTTTCTTACAGCGGAGTCGACAAGCTGAGAAGTATTCAAGGATGGATCCCGGCATACCACACCTGGAGTTTTGACATCTGGACCTCTCAGATGAGCCAATCATATCTAACACCTCTCCCCATGCAGAATGTGGATCCGACCGCCCGCTCAGACATTGGGAAGCTGATCTGAGACGGGAGAGACTCCGTGCAAATCCTCCCACAGGCTGGATCTGGATTATTGATTGTTGCATTCATGTGGGATCAGGTTTACGACTGGGAAATGTCATGCGAACAATTCTCCAAGTCGGATAAACATTTAAGAAAACTTGCAGTGACGTCCCATTGGCCCGTCTGGCCAAAGCAAGACGACATGAAGGGGGACATATTTTTTCCCAGAAACTCGTAGTTTACGCTAACATGGAGTGAGAATATTCATCTAGATTTTTCTTTTCTTCCGCCTTTGGCTTTTTGGGAAAATAAAAAACGACAACAGATCAAAACGAAGGCCGTCCACCTCAGACTGAACCTGGAATCTCTGAGGGGCATTTAAATGCACCGTTAGCATTTAACGGCAGGTTGGACACCTGGTTTCAGCCCTCTGGAGACGGAGGTGTGGAGAGAGCGCGAGCGAGGTGGTTGGCTGGCCGAGTCAGCTCCGATGGGGGCCGGTTGTGACCCGGTCTGACCCCCGGTTTGACCTTGCAGTGACCTTTGACCTCTCCGGTCCTGGCTCTCCACCTGCTCTGCTGCCTGGGTTCCGGAACGCTCCGCCCTGGGGCCCAGAACGAGCCAATCAGGATGAAGAAGAGCCGCAGTGTGCTGTCTGTGACTGGAGAAGAGGTGAGAATAACAAACAAACCTCCGGAAAATCAACTAACTTTGTCTCTTGGTCCAATGAGAGTAGATAAAAGGCAGAGCAGTCTGGTCACACTGGACTGTGTGTGTGTGTGTGTGTGTGTGTGTGTGTGTGTGTGTGTGTGTGTGTGTGTGCGTGTGTTTTCTTGAACGCTTACTATGACACACGAACCTCGTGACTTTCACACATCTAGCCAAGGCTCCCTTTGTTCTTGTTGTCAAGGTCTGTGGACGCACTCAGAAGTTAGAGTGGACAGTTTGTCCTCCCCCTCCCCCATTTACATAGCGTGAACCACTCAGTCCGTC